TCCGGGAAAAATTGAAAAAAATGCTACATTAGCATTTTTTTTGTCTTTTCTAGATTGAAAGTCATTCTGTTACTTTAGGAACATAAAATATGACTATGGACATTTTTACTTGGCATGAAATGATCATAACCAGCATATTAAAAATATAGTGTATCCAAACAATTATTACAAACAGAATACCCATCCACATGCAAAAACAAAACTGAAACCTTTTTATTTTCTCGTGACAATAGCACCTCCTAAAGAAAGAAATGCATCTTGTTCTTGCATTGGAGAGTTCAGTTTGTAAGCTAGGACTTGCTTGTCCTCAGTGCACAGAAATTAGATCAATCTGATACCATATATATATATATATTAGAAATGATTTGGAAAATATTTGAACACCTTGTCTTAAAATATTTTATTCATCATGTTAAAATAAAACATTCCATCGTCAATTTATTTTATTTTTTCAATTTTTCCAATTTTTCGGAAAAAAACAAAAATGGCTTCAGGAAAAAAACGGAAAAAAACTGGTTTTTTTCCTAATTTTTCCGGGTTTTTTTTCAGGCCTTCAAATCTTTATTCTCAGCTATGGTGGACGAACGGGATGGTGGACACTTATTATCTTGGCCAGAGTTTTCTCAGCTATGGTGGACAACAGCCTGGAGGAAGAACAAGTCCTGTCCCTGGAAAGGGGCAGGTGAAGGTTTTCATGGCCGGGAAGAAAGTAACGTCACCTGGGAAGCAACACCCCATCGAGCCTCTATTAAATAAAGACAGGTCATTTTTCTTCAGGCCTGTTGGTAACCTTCGCCTCAGTTTAGCCGACCTCATAGGGTTGATGTGAAGATTGTTTCATTGGAGGAAGGGCTTGGGTAGGATAAACTCAAAACAGTTCTTGGGTTTTTTTTGGGTTTTGTTTTGCTAGCTAGATTTGTTTTTACCAAAGTGCAAGAGGTAAAGGTAAAGGTTTCCCATGCTTGAAAGCCAGTCGAATCTGACTCTAGGGATGCGGTGCTCATCTTCGTTTCCAAGCCAAAGAGCCAGTGCTGTCCAAAGATGTTTCCATGGTCATGTAGCCAGCATGACTAGACGCCGAGGCACACGGAATGCTGTTACCTTCCCACCGAAGCAGTACCTATTTATCTACTTGCAATTTCTTGCTTTCGAACTGCTAGGTTGGCAGGAGCTGGGGCCAGAGATGGGAGCTCTCTCCATCATGCGACACTCAAGTCTCGAACTGCTGAACTACCAACCTTTCGGTCTGCAGTTCAGTGTCTTAACCACTTGAGCCACTGCAGCCCTAAAGTGCAAGAAGAAAGGTTTAATCTCAAATACCTGCAAACATGGGTGTGGTATGACCCTCCTGAAAGGGACAAAATGATACCTGATTCCCTTCTTCCAAACCCACCTTTTCCATGCTGCCTCTGTAGATAACCCCTAAATTCTCCCTCCATTCTAGAATTACTGAGGCCTCAAAGGAATTTTCTTTCTCCTCACCCGGGATGGGTAAAAGCCAGAACAGGCTGGGATGAGTATTAAACAAAAAGTAGTACCACTAAAAAAGAGTGGGATGCATTAAAAGGCACTCCAGAACAATATTCTGGAAATTAAAATGCAGAAATAGTGTCCATTTATTAACCCTTTCCAGTCCAAAATGCCTCCAGAACCCCGCTGAATGAGCAGGAAAGCAAATTAAACAAATCATAGTACCACTAAAAAAGATACATTTATCCACAAAATTTATTTATTTATTTAATTGGATTTACTAGGCCACCCTTCCCTAAAATAGGGCTCAGGGCGGCTTACAACAGGATAGTATACATTCTCGATATAAAACTAAATTAAAACAGTCCAGTACATACTAGTGAATAAAAACAGTGTATATACAATATATAAGATGGCGGAGAAATCCGAACTCCCCAGTCTCCCCTGGGGGTAGGGGTTATAAGGGATGGGGAATTATATGAGAGTGTCAAAAGAAGTCCTGTCGCTGTCCTCAACCAAAGGCCCAGCGGAACACCTCTGCCTTGCATGTCCTGCGGAAAGGTAACAGTAAAGGGACACAGTACAGAATGTAGAAACCACAAGATAAATACTGTGTATAAGTTGTTCACCTTGATTAATATACAATACAGTTCAATTTTTACATAAAAAGCGTATTATTGTATTTCTTATTACGATCTGGCAACAACTTCCAAATATGTTACATATATTCCATAAATACACAAGTGGCAAGCAAAGTACTCTGCATTCAATGATCTTCCCACTGAAGCAGTACCTCAGTACCAGAGCGGTTGTGGAAGCCAACGCCATACTGGCTTTTGTCGCTCTCTTGGAATCTCCACAAAGGCACATCTGTGAGCAGTCGGTGTGGGCCCTTGGGAACGTAGCAGGCGACGGCCCCATGTACAGAGATTCTCTCATCCAGCAGAACGTCATTCCACCTCTCCTGGCTCTGGTGGCACCAACTACCCCTGTGGGGTTCCTGAGGAACGTCACGTGGACGCTGTCCAACCTCTGCCAGAATAAAAACCCGTGGCCGCTGCTGGAAGCCGTGAGGCAGATCCTCCCCGCGCTGATCTGTCTCCTGCAACACGAAGACAGGGACATTATCGCAGACACCTGCTGGGCTGTCTTCTACCTGACCGACGGAACCAACAACCGCATTCACGTCATGGTGGAGACGGGGATGCTGCCGAGGCTCTTGTCCTGTCCGGACTTGCCCATTCTGACTCCAGCTCTGCGTGCTGTTGGCAATATCGTCACCGGGACGGACGAGCAGACGCAGCTGGCCATCGACGCGGGCCTGTTGGCCATCCTCCCCCGGCTCCTGCGGCACCCCAAGTCCTCCATCCAGAAGGAGGCGGCGTGGGCACTCAGCAACATTGCAGCGGGGCCCTGCTCGCAGATCCAGCAGATTATCACCTGCGGGCTCCTGCATCCCCTGGTGGAGCTTCTGGAAAAGGGAGACTTCAAGGCCCAGAAAGAGGCTATTTGGGCAGTGGCCAACTTCACCACCGGAGGCACTGTGGAGCAGATCGTCGATCTGGTCCAAGTCGGGACCCTCCTGCCCTTGCTCAACTTGTTGACGGTCAAGGATGGGAAAACCGTCCAAGTGATCCTCGATAGCCTCTCCAACATCTTCTTGGTAAGAATTTTCTCTCTCTGCTTCCAATGATTTGCCTCTCTCCAGTTTAGTGTAGTGGTTAAGTGCATGGACTCTATTCTGGGAGAACCGGATTTGATTCCCCACTCCTCCACTTGCACCTGCTGGATGACCTTGGGCAAGCCGTAGTTCTGATAAGAGCTGTTCTTGAAAAAGAGGAGTCTCTGTCAGAGCTCTCTCAGCCCCACCGACCTCCCAGGGTGTCTGTTGTGTGGAG